GGGGGGGGCTGTGCCACCCCCCCGGAAAAAGTTCGCTCGCGGCCCTTTTGGGGGACCCGACTCCCTAGGAGCCCACCCCGGTAGAGGGCCGCCCCTGCCCCGGGCCGGGGTGAGCGCGCGGGGGGCGGGTTTGTTTGGTTTCAAAAGTGCACGTTGCTAACCGCCGGTAGCCCCCCCACCCCCCGCCGCGGCCGAGCCGGGGAGGGGCCCCCCGAGAGTGACAGCTGCGGGTGGGGGCAGCCGGAAGGTCTCGGAGCTGGGGAGCCGGGGAGCCCGCGCGAGTTCCCTTTTCCTTTGGAACAAAGGAAAGTCTGTCTCGGAGGCATCTGTCACTCCCAGGCGGGCCAAGGAAGCGGGGCGCGTGGGGCCGGCGACCCGAAGAAAGTTTGTGCGCGCCGAGTCCCTCGGGCAGGCCGAGCCTGAGCCGAGCCTCCCGCAGACGAAGCGCGCAGTCTCCGGGGCAGGGGGCGGCCAACATGGAGTCTGGGCGCAGGATTGGGGGGGGCGGTGCGGAGATGGGAGCCCAGCCCCCTCCCCTCCCCCTCAGGGCCGAGTTCGGAGCACAAAGCCGAGCGCGCAGGCTCGGCCAGCCCCGCGCCCCGAAGAGTCAGGAGCGCTGAGCGGCCGGGGAAGGGGGTGGGAACCAAACTTTTTCCTGCCCCGGGACAGACACGTGAGTTTTCTTTCTTCCAGAGCCCCCGCCCCACCCGGATTGCAGGCCCGCGGGGGAACAGAAGCGCCGAGTCTGACGCAGGGTGGGGGGCTGAGGGGTGCAGGCGCCCCGAGCGCAGGCCGATTCCCTGCCGCCCCGGGAGCCATGTGCTCCGACTCGGGTCTGGGCCGCGGGGGAGGCTGCGCGCTTTGTGTGAACTGCTGGGAATGCAGCATGAGTGCTCGGCCCGGGGGAGTGTCGGGCCGAGCTGGGGAAGTTGTCAGAAAGTTGGCGCGGGAGTGGTTGCAGGTCAGCGTCGTGGCGTGTGTAGGAGGATGCCCTGGGTGTTATGTCGAGAGGGTGCTACCACAGGCCAGTTAGGGTAAGAACTGACCCTTAGTATGATGTCGTCGGGAGTTGTCCCAGTCTGAGAGATCGTGGATGGGCGTATATCCAGGAATTGGTTGCGTGGTACCAGTTGTTCGTGCTAGACGCAGGTTTTGTAAACTGTGTGTTTGCTGAATTTCTCGGTGAAAGTCCTGGGGGTTCCAGGGGCTGAGTGATGGGTTGGTGCCAGTTATCTGAGTCCTCTTAGAGAGTTGCCTGGTGTGAGGCTGTGTGGGAGTGTGGGATGTGTCTGTGGGAAGCCTCCTGGATTGGGATTTGTAAACTGTGTCTGCTGTATTTGTCGGTGAATATCATGGCTGGAGGGCAAGACACTGCGGTAGAGAGGTCTGTGTAGACTGAGGGGGTCACCTCCACACACCACCCACTGGAACCCTGCAGACTGGGACTTGACTGGCAGCCAGGGTGGAATCTGTACAGATAACCTTGAGTAAACTTCTCACAGCCTGCCAGGGCTGCATCCCTGCCTGAGCTCAGATCCCAACTGCCCTGGCCAGCTAAACCTCAGAAACCTGACCTCAGAAAGCAGCCTGCTGTTGCTGCTCTCTGAGGAGTGGCACCTCTAACCAATGCCTGACTCACCTCCAGGTGTCCCGGCTGGGAGGGTAGACCCTTCCCTCGAAAGCCTGGCCTAGCCAGCCCGGATATCTGGGCTCAGGCCCAAGTCGAGGAAACAAAACCTGGGAGATGCCAGAGTCTGTTGGCCCAGCCTGCTAGGGAGCTGTTAAAAGGCTGAGGAGGGAGGGGCCTTGAGATTCTGGCATCAGCTTGTCCTGGAACTTTTGGTTTTAAAATGTGTATCTCTTTTGCGTGTGCGAACAAGAAGTTTGTCAGGGGGATAAGCAACTGAGTTGGATTGTCTAGGGAAACACCTTCCTTCAATTAACAGATGAAGAGGAGGCTCAAGCCCAGAGAAGGAAGGATGCTTGCCCAAGGTCACAAAGCCAAGTTGGAGGAACTAGAGCCCAGCCTTGCTTATTTATCTGGATTTTTGAGGCACTGATTCTGGGACCAGGCCAGGGGCTAGATGACAAAGGAGAATGAGAGACATCCAGTAGGGATAACTCAGCATCTTTGCAGGGTATACATAGTAGGTACACAGTAAATGTTACATGGATTGCTGTAGGACTGTGGAGACTGATAGGGTTTCCAGACTCCTCACTGGGTCCTGGGAGACCCTGGAAGCAAGATTGGATGGGGGTGGAGGACGGGGCAAGCTATCTGGGTCCAAACCCTGCTTCCATACCATATCCTGGAGGTGAGATTTTTTTTTTTTTATAACAGCTTTATTGAGATATAATTCACATACCATACAACTTACTCTTTTAAAGCAAACCAGTGTTTTTTTTTAGTATATTCACAATTATGCAACCATCGCCACAGTCAATTTTAGAACATTTTTATCACCTGGAAAAGAAACTTCATACCCTTTAGTTATCACTCTTCTATTCCCTCCAGCTCATTCTGGACATTTCATAAAAACGGAATCATACAGTATGTGTTTTTTGTGACTTGTTTCTTTCACTTAGCATAATAGTTGCAAGGTTCATCCATATTATAGCATGGATCGGAACTTTTCATGGCTGAATAATATTCTACTCTATTATGGATAGGCCACATTTTGTTTAACCATTCATCTGTTGGAGGACACTTGGGTTGCTTCCACTTTTGACTATTATGAATAATGTTACTATAAACATTTTTGTACAAGGTTTTGTGTGGACGTGGGTTTTCATTTCTCTTCGTAGCTTAGCTACCTTAGGAGTGAAATTACTGGGTCACATGGTAACTCTGTTTAACAGCCAGAGTATCTTGGGTGACTTTCTGAATCTCTCTGGGCCTTGGTTTTTCTCATCTGTAAGATGATGATGATATTAGTGTCTCCCTTACAAGGGCATTTGTGAGGACTGAATGAGATAATAAAGGTGAACTGCTCAGTACAGAGCATGGAAAACGGGCCTCAGTGGTAGCTGTAATTACTTCTAGTCTGGTTCTGCTTATTAATGATCTGCCATTTATTTCAGTAGTTGTCTACCGGCCTGATGAAATAGAGACATTTTGGACCCTTCCTTCTACCTTGCCCAGGCTTTGGAATGGCCTGAGACTTTGACTTTCGATTACCCCGTTTCTGGTGTCCTAGGCTCTAGTAATGATGTGCTGGAAGACGGAAAAGGGCCAGAGGCACCGCATGGTAATAATGTTCCCCTCCCCTTTGTCACCTGTTTTAGGCTTGCCTGAGGTCCAGCGTAGCACCTAGACACCATGTCAGACAGTGACCTGGGTGAGGATGAAAGCCTCCTCTCCCTGGCAGGCAAGAGGAAGCGCAGAGGGAACCTGCCCAAGGAGTCGGTGAAGATCCTCCGGGACTGGCTGTACCTGCACCGCTACAACGCCTACCCCTCAGAGCAGGAGAAGCTGAGCCTTTCTGGACAGACCAACCTGTCGGTGCTGCAGGTAAGGAGCGGGTAGCAGGAGACCTGGATTCTGGTCCTATCCCAGCCCTGTCACTGACTCAACCGTGTGGCCTTGGGCTGGTCACTTCCCCTCTCTGGGCCCCAGTTTCTTCGTAGGTCAGATGAGAATACCCACCCTCTCTGCCTCAAGGGAAGACAATTGCATGAAGTCATTGCAGCTAGATTTCAGATTTTGGAGAGTTATGAAGAGGCAAGGAATTGTTATTAATGTCTAGGTGTCGTCATTAACACTGGAGGCTGGGAGAGGGTGAGAAGGCATTGAGTGTCTGGGATTTGGCCTTTAGCCCCAGATTGATTGGCAGTTTGGTTTCATGGGGCAGCTGGTGATCTGCAGAGTGGTTAAAAATGAGTTGGAGTCACGGTTAAGGAAAGGGCAGAAGTCAGAGGTTCTGGGGGTCAAAACCCCATTCTGCTACGCAGGAGTTGTAAACCACATCTTGATTTCCCATCTGTAAAGTGGGATTAGACTGCCTGACTGAACCGTTGGGAGGAATAGATTCAGAACTGGATGTGAAAGTGCTCTGTGAACCACAAACATGAACACGCTCAGAAGATCACGTTATCCACTTTTGGTGAGAGTGAGAGGTATTGCCCCCTTTGAATTGCCCCAGTTGCTGACCTACAGGTGTTTTTGTTCTGTTTTCCTGGTGCTGAGGTGAGACCCCCAGGACTGCCGCTGCCTTGCCTCCAGTTGGGCTCTCACCTACCTGGGAGACACAGGACAGGCCCCCAGCCTAGCAAAGGCCCACCCTCTGCCCCTCTGGCGCCCCACTCCCCCCACCCCACCCCCTGCTGCCTCCCCTTCCACCTCTGTTCTTTCCTGGCCCACTGCTCCGATCCCTGGGATCCCTGGTGCCGTCTCTCCCTTGCCCTACTCTGACCCCCACCCCCTCCAGCTGCGTCCCTCTTCCACGAAGCCTCATGGTGAGTATTCGGCCCTCAGAATTCCTGTCACCTGACCTTATACTCGCTGGGCAGTGGCTGATCGGAGTCTGTCTGTGAGAAAGGCTCTAGAGCTACTGACCCTGACTCGGATCCCATCTTCTCCACAAGAGAAAGCTCGGACATTGGCCAAGTCACTGCCTCCTCTCTGAGCTCCGTGTTTCCTCACCTGAAAAGGGGGGCTGATTGTAGCACTTTCCTGGCATGTAGGGGTTGGGGGGCAGGACTGAGAAGAATTCAAGGCCCACTGTGAGGTGTTTGGCACAGCGTGGGCACTTCTCTCCCTTTCATCCTCATCTCTCCTAGATCATTGGTCTCGACTAGCAGTTCCGAGAACCTCACAAGTTTACCGACAAGTGCTGCACTATGCCCAGCTCTGTGCGGGGCAGGGTTGGGATCCCAGAGAGGATCCAGGCACATTCCTACCCTAGGGAGTGTCTAGTCTGGGATGGGAAAGCAGGGGAAGACCTGGCCACTTATGTTTGCAAAAAGTGATCACCGCTGGGACAGATGGCAGCAGAGACTCAGGGCAGGGCTTCTGAGAGGCCTGGAGCCTCAGAAGGCCTTCTAGAAGAGGTGGACTTGAACTCACAGGATACAGAACAGCACAGGCCAAAGTCTTGGTGCCTAAGAGCCAGGATTACCTAGATAGCCTCTTTGTTAGTCTTACTGCCTGCAGCCTAGTTCGTTCTTCCTGTCTCTGGGGCCCCTGAACATCCAGGCCTCTGGGCCTTCTCCGTTGGTGTCTTGACCTCTCTGAGCCTGGCTCACTCTGTTTAAGCATTTTCTCATGAAAGCATTCTGATTCCCCCAGCTGTGTATTCCAGTGCGCCTCCTACCTGTGCGACCAGACCACTTCCACACTGTATTGAAATTGCCTTTTATCAGGGACACTTTCTCAAGACTGAATAATGTACTGACTCCTCTTAAAGAAAATCTTTTTCACGGACTTGCCTCCCTCACAATGTACACTTGAATAATTTTTATCACATCACTTAAGCATGTACAAACATAAAACTGGGTAAAAAAATCTCTTGCTTTTGCTCTTATACACAACTGTGAAATAACCAAACCGTTTTCCAAAGTAAATAGACGTAAAACGAATGAGATCCCATCTAACTGCATTAATAACAAATGGTGGATGGTGTTTTGTTGACTGCACTATGATGTGTAGTATGACAGGCACTGGCTCCAGAGTTGAGCAAACCTGTGTCGCCAGAGGCCACGGCACTCCTACTTGTGATCAAATTGGAAACACAAAACCAAAACATTCTTGTGGGGAACTAGTGGGCCCCTAGGACGGCATATCCCCAGATCCCACTTACAGAAATGTAGGTCTGGGGCTACAGCTAATCCATTTCGGGATTAGCTGCTGGAGACTTCTGAGGAAGGGCCGGCTGGATCCTGGCATCCCCTGGTGGGAGGGGTTCCACTGGTGGCCACCCTGTTCTAGAGGCATGCTGAGAGTTAAGGACCGGTGGGGGGGACTTCCCTGGTGGTCCAGTGGTTAAGACTCCACATGGGTTTGATCCCTGGTCTGGTCAGGGAACTAAGATCCCGCCTGCTGCACAGTGCGGCCAAAAAAAAAAGCAGCAGTGGGGACCATCTAGTCTTCCTTGATGGAAACTGTACCATGAATCCCAAGCAGCACCAGCCATACATCCGTGCTTGAAGGTCTCACAGGCACCCCAGATTTCCTGACTGATAACAGGTAATTTGTCCAAGCTGGGTCCTTCCCTTTCGAAAGGACTCCCCTTGATAGCCCTTTCTCAGCTCCTTTGGTCTCACCAATTCCTATACATTTACCCCTTAAATATTTCTGGAATATAGCTTCTTTTCTACCCTAGTCCAACCTATCATCATCTGATCACGTGTCACTCCCCTACTTAAAACCCTTCAGTGGCTCCTGCCAACCTATTGACAACATCATCTTTCCCAATCTGTGTAGCGGGCCTCATCCCTGGCCCCCCGTATTGCTGCCCCACTGATAGATACCCCACACCACTTTGCTCCCACCCCTGACCAGGGAGACTCCTGACCCCTAGAGGAGCTCTGTGCTCCCACAGCACCGGGACTGGGTCAGCATTTGGACTTGACTGATTGCTTTTTAGAACACACTAAACTCCAGAGGCCTAGACTTATTTATCACTACATCCTCAGTGTTGGCTCAATGCCAGGTATCTGGTAGGTGCTCAGTAAATAATTGTTGAAGTGACAAAATGCAGATAAAAGTGCTAGAGGGAATTCCCTGGTGGTCCAGTGGTTAGGACTCTGAGCTTTCACCGCCGAGGGCCCAGGGTTCAATCCCCGGTCGTGGAACTGAGATCCTGCAAGTCGCGCGTCGGGCCCCCCCCCAAAAAAAAAAAAAGTGTTGGAAATGTCAATAGGCAGGACCTCAGAAATAAAGGAAATGTAGTGGCTCCTCAATCTGGAAAAGCTGGTTTAAGTCAGTCCCTGGAGGCATCTCTTTTTCCTGTATCTAATTTTTAAAATTTCCATTGTTTATTAGGAACGTTTGCAGATAACCGCAAAAGTAAGAGAATATTATAACGCACCCCTGGCACCAATCACCTGGCTCCAGCAAGCATCAACGTTTTGCCAAGTTTGTTTTCTCTCTCCCTGGGGACCTCCCTTGCGATTGTCTCCTTTAACTGGCCCAGCAGCAGTCTCATTAGCAAGTCAATGAGTTATTTAACTAACTGGTTAGCTGGTACTTGCCCGAGGCGAGGCAGTTGGGAGGGTAAAACCAAAAAGTCGTTTGTGAAGGATTTTCACAGGTCCCAGTGACACCCTGTAAGCCCACTTTATTGCTGTGGTTTCTGTTCTGAGGGGCTGCCAGTTGGGCAGGGGAGGTAAGTGTGGCGGGGAGGGTTCGTGCCCATTCCTTCTCTGTGTAATATTGGTTGGGGGTGTGCTCTGTGCCAGACCCAGTGCTGTGTGCTGGGAACACAACAGTAGAACTGGCACTGTCCCCCCTGGGGGAGGGAAGACATGGAAAGGACTGAGAATTCAGTGTAATTAATTACCCGTGTGTGTCAGCTGAGCTGCCCTGGTAGGCAAGGCTTCTCCGGAAGCTGTATATGAATGGAATCGTGACAGACTTGAAGGATTGGGGAGGTGAGGGGCAGCAGTCCCTCTGGTACTTGTACTGGGCAAGAAAGGAGCCTGGTGCAGAAGCTGTAGTGGCCTGCTGTGTGGTGAGGGGGTGGCTTGGCCCTGCCCTCAGTGGACTTTTATCTCTTGAAGCTGCTCTCCTTACTCTGGCTCCAAAGATAGCTGCCTCCCGATTCTTCCTCCTGGTAACCACTGTCTCCCCACCTTAAGGCCTTTCATTTGTATATTTATTGAGCTTTTGTGTAAGCTTTTTTGCTTAAGTAAAGGGTTTGGCCCACAAGGACGAGTTAAACCAGTGGGTTAAACCATTGGTTCCTAAGCTTGGGTGGCCGAACTCTGGAGAGCTTGTCTAAAAACACATTCCTGATTCCACCCACCCCTCTCCCCTGCCCCCCATCTCTGAAGCAGATGAGACAGAGCAGTTTTTTAAAATCACCCTCAAGGTTATTCTAATACAGCCAGCAGCCTTTAGGAGCACCTGGATACGGGTGGTCACAACACTGGGACCGTGATGTTTGGGAAAGGTCTCTCCATGCCCTCTCTCTCCCCTCTTTTGCTTCTGTCTTTCACAGTTGAAAAGACATTACAATTAAAGCACTTGGGTCGCCTTCAAAAGCCCTGCTTTGGTCCTCATGGCCTTTATCTGCTCCCTGGTGCCCCTCCCACTCCCATTTGCCACAGTGATTCCTCCCGTGTCCTTCATCTCAGCCACTGATTAAAAAAAAAAGAAAATACTGACAGGGCAGCAGCCTTTCAGATATGGCCCTGTTTTATGGTAGAGACAGGCTTTCAGGCACCCAGCCTGTGTTTTGCCATATCAATCACAGAATTCACCTTGACATTCTCCTACCCCCTCCCCGAGGACCTTGAATTGGGGCAAGTCACATGCTTTTTTCCTGACTTAGGCATGGGTCAGGCTGCTGGAAGGGGCTACAGAAAATCCGCAGAGCCCATTATCACAGCTGGCACTGGTGGTGCACTCGGGCCTTGTGCCCTTGCCCGGCTGCCCTCAGCTGTGCATTTCTATCGGATGAGAAGACAAAACAGTAAGTAGGCTGCCAAGTTTTCTGTGGACCAGGGTGAGCACGTGGGGGGGTGTTTTTCTGCTGTTCTCTTCTCAGAATTAGAAGCCAAAATGGGAGGTGCAGCTAGAGGCTAAGTGCCCACGCATCTGCTAGTAAACGCCAGGCTCCCCTCCCCAAGACTGCTCCCAACAAAAGCACTAGTCCCTACTCCTCTTGACCCAGGTCACGTTTTCCCTGCATCCTGGGCTGAGGTGGAGAGGTGTAGTGCTCTCCTGTAGCGCAGGTAGCCAGGGAGGCAGCTGCAGGATGGAGAGACGGAAGCATCTGAGCAAGGAGAAAAGGCCTCGGGCTGACTCTCCTGTCTGTTGTTTTCACCTGCCAGCGGTCGCTGCCTGGAATCGGGCTGAGTCTGGATCCCATCCTAGCTTTTGCCCTTGTGACCTTGAGCAAGTTGCTGAATCTCTCTGATCAGGGTCTCCGTTTCTTCAGTGGTTCACATAAAATGGAGATCATCACAGAACCTCTCATAGGCTGTTGAAGATTAAATGAGTTAGTTAGATGGGAAATGTTCAGAACAGCACCTGATATGTTTTGTGTTCAGCAAGAGTCTGCTTTTAGGATTATGGTGATGTCTTGCCGCTATCCATTTTGTTCCTCTGTTGGTAAGACAGCAGACCAGAATGAGAACAGCAGCAGGAGACCCGAGTTTGAATTCCAGCTGTGTACTTGGAGGCTGTGTGACTTTGGGCAGGTTCTCTCATCTCTGAGTTCCAGGTCTCTCTGTAGTCCTTTGGGGACACTGCTTACGACCATCCAGGCTTTCATGCAGATTAAACATGCAAGTGAGATGGTTGGCATGATACCTTGTGTCAAAGATCCTTAGTTCCTTCGTCCACTCAGCTGTTCAGTCTTCCTTCTCCCTTGGGGCTCCCCTGCAACTCCAGCCAGGATTGAAGTGAGCAGCTCAAACAGTGTCAGCTGATGCCTGCTGTCGCACGCACGCGCATATGTGCGTGTGCGCGCGCGCACGCGCTTGGTTGTACTGAGAGGACCAGAGAGGTAAAGGGGTAAATGAGAACCCCAGAGGCAGGGTCCTTCCAGGCTGGAATGGAAAGGGAGAGAAGCCACAAGAAGGCTCTGGCTCTGCCCTGCCCATGAGCTTTCCCAGCCTGACAGGACCTGGAGCCTGGTGCTATCCTTGGGTCACCTGTGGAACAGGTACAGCTGCAGGCTGCTGGGCAAGGAGCCATGCCAACTCCAGGCACCTGCTCTTGTCATAGGTGGCCATCCCTTTGGCTGGGTAGTGGTACTCAAGGCCTTGCCCAGGTGTCAGCTAAGGAAGGTGATAGGCAGGGGTAGAAACTGGTATGGGAGCCCTGAGGAGAGTTGGGCCTTTGATCCAGTCACCCATTAGAGGAATGTTAGGCATTGCCGCAGCCCACACAGTTCCTGGCATCTCAGCACAGGAGAGGTGTGGGGGAGGGGTTCCTGTCATTTCTTCCCCTACAGCAGCTACTACATGCTCTGTAAGTTTCTGTTGATGAACTAAGGAGAGAAAAGACAGGACCAGGAGGACGTACAGTGTGAAAACTAGCTTAAGCCACTGTTCAGGCCCCTTTGGTGGTTAACCATGGTGTTCTGGCCTAGTGGGATCAGCCCTGCCTGCTTCTGTCTGTTCCTTTAACCAAACCCTTTCCTGCCTCAGGACCTTGACATTTGCTGTTGCCTCTGTCTAGAACACTCTTCCCTCAGCTTTCAGTGTGGCTGGCTCTTTCTTATCTGTTAGGTCTCAGCCTTCCCAGACCCCTTATCTATGGAGGTCTCTCTTATCTTTATATACTATCTTTTTATTCCTGTCTGTTTCCTTCCTGGCACTTCTTGTTGCTATAGTGATGTTCGTTCATTGCCAGTCTCCACAACTAGATGGACCATAAGCTCCACGAGGCAGAGTGCATATCTATTTAATTCACAGAAGCATCCCCAGCACCGAGAACTGGCCTGGCACATAGCAAGCATCAATAAATATTATTTGAGTGAGCACAAAGCCTTGAAAGGGAGAGCAACAGGAAGGTGAGAAGTTCTAACTTGACCATTCTAGTGAGTAAAATAAGCTGGGCTCTGGAGCCCTGTGATATTCTGAGAGAAAGATTCAGAGAGTAGGGGTTCTCGTTCCTCCAGCCAAAGGTCCAGGCTTGGGGATCCTTGGCTAGAGGTAGAATCCTGCCTGACTTCTCCAGGCTCAGCTTTATATATGTTCATCAGTAAAATGGGAGCTGATCAAACTCATAGGGCTGATAAAACTGTTAGAAGAAAATTGCATAGATGTACAGTGCTTAGTAAACGGCAGCTATTGGTAAAGCTTCTCAATGAAGGCTCCCAGAAAGATGCCTAGATACGTGGAGGCATACCATGCCACACCCAGGCCTCATCACCAACACACTCCCACAGTTTCTGTTTCTTCTCCAGCTACCTTTTCTGTTAGCAAGAAAGCGATTAGGCAACTTTTCCCCTGTGGCAGCTCCTCCAGTGGAGGCCAAGAGGGAGAAAGACATGGAAAAAATGATGAAGGGTTGTATTTGCCTATTTAAGGAAAAACGGGTTTTGTATTTATGAGCTTACACCAACCGTGCAGCTAAGAAACTGTTCTCTAATCTAATCCATAACTTTTTAAATAATGCCCAGGTTAAAGGACTGGTCTTGTCACATCTCCAGGCTGTTAGGAGAAAATGAAAGGAAGGAGGGTGTAAGTGGCTGATCTTTTAGCTTGATCAGTAATGATGCCATGATTAGGTGCCTTCTCCTCTGGGGTGTGCAGAAACTATTCACACTCTTCCTGAACAGTTATCTACCCTCGTGGTGTCATTCAGGTATGAAAAGAAACTGCCGGGCCCTACAGCAGCTGTAGGTGAGGAGAGATGTGTTTTGAAACTATTTCCTCTGCCTCAGCCCAAATCTCTAATATCTTAGATCAGCCAAGACTTAGAATAGTAGGCATTCTCCAGGTAGAGAAGAGGGTGTTCCAGAAAGAAGGAATGTGATGTGCAAGAGGCACGGAGTTTTGTTCTGTGTTTTAAAGCACAGGGCCTCGATGAGGGCTGGTGAACAGTTTCACATGAAGAAGACTATAGGGGCTTCCCTGGTGGCGCAGCGGTTGAGAATCCGCCTGCCAGTGCGGGGGACATGGGTTCAAGCCCTGGTCCGGGAAGATCCCACATGCTGCAGAGCAACTAAGCCTGTGCGCCACAACTACTGAGCCTGCGCTTTAGAGCACACAAGCCACAAGTACTGAAGCCCACGCGCCTAGAGCCCATGTTCCGCAATGAGAAGCCACTGCAATGAGAAGCCCACACGCAGCAACGAAGACCCAACGCAGCCAAAAATAAATAAATTTAAAAAAAAAAAAAGAAGAAGGATACAAGGGCTGGAAAGATAGGCCATGAACAGGGGAGGCTTTTAACACCCAGGCCCAAGAGTCTGGAGTTGTTCCTATAGGCAGTAGGAGACAAATCGCAGTTTTTCTAGAACAGGAATAACAGTACTGCATTTTGGAAAGTGAGTGGCAACCAGTGACGAGGCTGGATTGGAGAGCTGTGAATCTGGAGGCTATTATAAAGGGTCCAGACAAATATAGGATGGGTGCTAGATATGCCTTGGTTTTGCAGCAGACCACTTAACAGTAAGAAATGTCATGCCTCAGGCATAGGCCCAAGAGGATTGATCTAAACAATCAGCTGGACAGGAACGGGGTCACGGTTAATGGTAGCTTTCTCAGCAGCCTATAGGAAAAAAGCATTTAAGGATGTTGGTTGAATGCACATTCAACCACTGACCTTGGTTTTGCTTGGAAACAGTAACTTTTCTTCTACCTGAGAGTCCCTTTAGTGTCTTTGTGGCTCTTTACCTGGCATACAGAAAGACTATTCTAGAATCTTAGGAGTGAATGACCCTTGGCCCCATCCCCTCTCCTCTCACACACCCATATCCAGCTGGGCACCAGGTCCTGTCATTTCCAGTTTCCCATACAGATCAAACGTTTGTCATCATCTCCCTTAACCTAACTTGAACTACTAACCTTGCACTCTGCTTCCACTCTGTTCTCCACATAGCATTTTTAGCATTCTTTGCCTAAAACCCTCCTGCGGCTCCCCATCGTCCTTAGAATAAAGAATGAGGTCCCCGCCATGAGAGGTAACCTCTAGTTACCACTCTGAGCTCCATCCAGACAGGACTTCCTTCTCTGAGCTCGTCATGGGCACTTTTCAGGTGTTGATCCTTCTCAGTCGAATGCTCTTCTCCCCTCTGGCCTCCCACCTAACCTACTGCTTATCCTTCAGATCTCAATTCGCAAGCCGTTTCCTCAGAGAATACTACCCCGAGTCCACGAAGACTGGATTGGGTCTTCCCATTACTGTGTCCAACAGCACCGACGTACCTTCCCTTCATTGGCTGGATCACAGTTGCAGTTTATTTTCAATTATATGATTTCTTCTTTAACTCTCTCTGCCCAACATAAATCTGAGGGCTGCGATTGTGCCCGAATTGTTTGCTGCTGTGTTTCTGGGGCCAGGAACGCAGGTGCTTTGCAGCCGGTTTTGAGAGCGTAAACTGAGCACGGTCTCTCAAACTCATTCTCATTCCAGATTTGTAACTGGTTCATCAACGCCCGGCGGCGGCTTCTCCCAGACATGCTTCGGAAGGACGGCAAAGACCCCAACCAGTACACCATTTCCCGCCGCGGGGGCAAGGCCTCCGATGTGGCCCTCCCCCGAGGCGGCAGCCCCTCAGTGCTGGCTGTGTCTGTGCCGGCCCCCACCAGTGTGCTCTCCTTGTCCGTGTGCTCCGTGCCGCTCCACTCAGGCCAGGGAGACAAGCCGGCAGCCACCTTCCCACAAGGCGAGCTGGAGCCCCCCAAGCCCCTGGTGACCCCTGGTAGCACACTCACCCTGCTGACCAGGGCTGAAGCTGGAAGCCCCACGGGTGGACTCTTCAACACACCACCGCCCACACCCCCAGAGCAGGACAAGGAGGACTTCAGCAGCTTCCGGCTGCTGGTGGAGGTGGCGCTCCAGAGGGCTGCTGAGATGGAGCTCCAGAAGCAGCAGGACCCGTCACCCCCATTGCTGCGCACTCCCATTTCTTTCGTCTCTGAAAACCCCAAGTAGGCATCTGCCAACAGGGGTGCTCGAGGCTCGAGCCAGCTGTCCTGGGTTTCCGTTTTGGTTCCCCTTCCTACAGAGGGTTTTCTTCGGATCACTGCCAAACATCGGGATCATCTCCTCTGTCCAGAGGTCTTCAGCAGGC